CTTCAATTTAGGCGTCACAGTTGTGTTTTTTCTAAAAGTGGCTGTTAAAAATATAGCTAAAAATAGTCTTTAAAATCCCACCCAGCCCTCAACACCAAAATCCCACAAACTAAATACTCACTGAAAATATAATCCTATCGAAACGTATTGTGACAGTTGTTAATTTTGAACAAAGTTGAGGTGACATTTGATGCAAAATGTGATATTTCTGTAAACTTTGGCCACCCACACAAGTTGTAGGCACACTGAGGTTAATCTATACACGAGACTGAAAGGCGTTCTACGTGTACCGTCTGGCACGCGCTGTGAGTCACGCATCACCTCCAAACTTTTGGCCGAGCACGAACACATTTATGCGGTACTTGTGCGTTTCAACAGGGAGTTTTGTAGTACTTACAACAAAAGTAATGTTTTATTCTTTTTCATCAGTTTGCTGTAGGAGTGGAATGGAAACCTACATAAAACCATACGTTCCACGTCACCGAGGACCCGGCCTGGTCCACACACTAACTGTACAATTTGAATGAGCATTGGGGGTATCTATTATTAGCAAACACAGTCCACCAGCCAAATTTCGTGTAAATGCACATGATTGCGATTCATTTGCTGGTAATTACTCTGTTCAAACGTGAAAATGTACTCATGATTCCACGGGCAAAGGGAATTGAGTTGACAAACACGAGGCGGTTCATTCATGACCAGCCTGGCGCTTTATATTTCCATTTCCTCAGCTTCTTCCTATATGTACCCGAGTCACGTCTGTCACAAGGATTTTTCCCTAGGGGGGCAAAACATTTTCCAGGGGGTTTCCAGGGGTAAACAATTATAAAATTATAAAGCAATAACCGTGGGTGAGAGTAGATTAGTAGATTTGTTTCGTGCGAGTTGATGGTTTTCGTCCCTCTCAATTGTTCACTCCTTTTGCTTCCACTTTTCTTTTCGCTTTTCCGGGGGGGGGAGATTACGCGTCCCCTTGCCTCCCCCTGCGACGCCCATGAGCCATGAATCCAGCAGATAGGCACAATTATCAGAAAGATACAATGACAGTCGCAGAGCAAGACCACTCAACCAACCATTGTGTTTTTACTTCTGTTATACAAGTACTAAAACAGGATAAATATATATATATATATTTGCTAATGGCAAACACGCCATAAAACTACTTCCCTGAGAACTAATAACAGAACATGTTTTGCAGATACATACTGGGTAAACTCATAAGTTATAAAGGTCACTTTTGTGTGCTAACACCTTCAGGACAATTTTCATTTTCTACAGAAAAAACATAACAGTCATTTCTTCAGAAGGCCGTTTAGAATTGCCTCTCCGTTTAGAATTTCTTCTATATTTATAGGATGCATAGAATATATTTAAGTGATTTGGTACTTTTTGCCAGCTCTATAAATTAGGCGCGGTATCTAATATTAAAATAGTGCTTGACCTAACACCTACAGTACGTCACGCCACAAATTAGCATGAGAACCATCCTGTTTAAAATTGGAACATATTGATATTGAACAAATTGATGTTCTGCTTTTACTTCTGTTCCAAATATACCGAAAAGAGGATAAAACAACTCTAAATTATAAAATAACTTTGACAATACTCTCAATGCAAATATGTCATCCAAACATTCCCCGTTGGACCTAACTGAATGATCCTGTATTGGAGAGACATACTGGGTAACATCACCCGATGGTTTCTTTGGGTTTGGAGGGCTGCTTGTAGTGTTTGATTCACTGGAGCTTACTGCCAGGGTATGGTCACTTGCAATTCTTGGGTCGCAACCTAAGGATATGGGAATTGCACAGTAAATGAATATGTTAGGCAGGTCAATAATCTTCAAACCTATAAATACCTACTTTAAAAGAGTAGACAAATACATTTACCACAGTGTAAGGAGTCCAGTATATGTAGCGTAGGCCAGCCTCATTTGCTGCCTACAATGAAGTACAACACTTTAAACACTTTCTCCAGCAATGCAAAATAACCAACATCTAACTGTCTAAGCTGAATAGCCCAAAAAATCTAAGTGCTTTGACATGCTTTTACATTCTGCTTTTAAAACAATTATATGGCAGTAAAATATTAAAAAGGGAACCAATCATAATTATTCCTCAAAGAAAGTCAACTTTTACAAAGTCAGTGCCCTTGTACAGTCACATCAGTTGACATTCATGCACCCGTCTCCAAATTCAAAATACTCATATTTCGTAAATAACAGAAATCTTTGACAACCAATAGATTCTGAAATCGCTGTTGCAGTAATGATTTTTGTTTGTAAAGAGTCCCATATAAGGACATAACTTTTTTTCACCTTCATTCAACCCTCTCCCTTTTAGTAAAAGGGAGGCCATGGAAATTTTACATGCACAGTGGTTTTTGAAGGACGTGTGAAGGACGTTATTTAAAGACGGGGCGAACAGGATAGCCTATGCGCCTTTTCAGGCGACTATGGGGTAAAACCCAAAGCTAATACTGATTTGACATCCATTGCAATCTCGATGTCGTTTTCTGTTGTTGAAATTCCAGCTGCTGGGGACTGTTCCTTTCTTTCGTTTTCATTTCATTATTTTCCTGCTTGTATTTTTCGGGCAGACCTGTCTGACTAGAGTAAGTGATGGATCAAACATTCACATTTAAGAAAAGGAGCGGCAGATGCAACGCATTTGTGGCAATTTTGGGGGTAACCCAAGAAGATATGGAACTTATTTTTTGTGGGAATTTTTCTACTCTGCAGTTGAAAGCCAACGAAATTTGTTGTTATTACAAATGAAAATGTATTTCCATCATTAAAATAGGAAGGTGAGTGCCACCCCTGGATCTCTTACTATTGAATCTCCGATAATAAACATTATACGCCTGAGAGCTTTTATACTGAGATCACTGAGAAGAAATGCACCGAAGGCGGTTGGGATCGGTTTCACTGTCAAAAGTTTCAGGAAATAAATGAAAATCAGCATCAATCCTGTAGCTCACTGTATTCCAACCTAGAAAATTGCCTTTAGGGTTCTGCGCCCATGGACATGAAAAAAATGNCTGGTATTTGACGGGGGTCAATTGGAGTCTCTTATAGCTACTGATTGACAGCAAGCGTCGAGAAAATAAAAAGTCTTTTCCGGGATTCGAACCCAGCGTCTAACGATCTGATAACCGCGAGCTTAACCACTCGGCCATCTCAGAGATACTGCTTTTTGCTGTTCACATTAATAAAGAAGATAACAAAGTCATTCAACTTACTGCACAGATTGTTGCTGTGTAAATACTGAGTGCTTGAAACCAGATATCGTATAGCGCCGAAGGCGCCGCTTATTTTAATGCTTTGATACTTTTTGACTGTTTTATACTAATGCATATTTGCATATTCATCAGCAGAACTATGATGTCATCCAAGGTACTGAATCTCAATGTTGCACTGATTTCTGCACAGAAATTTCTAGATTTTTTAACCACTGCTATTGCAGACTTTATTTTCTTTAGCAATTTATTGCTGTGTAAGTATGTGGCAATAGTTCAGCAAAAATTCTTTTCACAGAAATGTTCCCAGATAACAAATTAGGGGTTCACAATTTGAACATGAAATCATGCAACTTGAACCATGTCTTCCTGGGCCGTTTTCCAATACTCGGCTTGGGCTGCTTCTCAGGCTTCAAGTTTTTTGTTTCTTTTTGTTTTTACTTCCTGACTTTGAGGTTGTAAGCGCAATAGCAAGTATGATAGTGCCACAAAACAATGAACAAAGCCAGAAAATCCGAGACAAAATGATCAGCAAAAAGTCGCACCCCTGCACCTTTTCAATGGCCGCTCACAATTCTTGCTGCCACGGCCATTTGTGAGCATGCATACATAATTATTAATTCATTAGTGAAGAGATCTATGGCTGATCAGTCGCTAAAAATGATTCTGTCTGAATAACAAAGCTATGCCTTTAGGATGTATTAACACGACGCATTTACAACACATTGGCCTGCGTTATTTATGATTGTTGCCATTAGCAACTGTTAGTGCACAATCGTGAAATCAGATTAAGATACGGAAACTCAATATCACCAAGCACATTACAGGAAGACGGTTTGAGGGAACACCACGAAGTAACACAGATCTATAGATGTGTGCGCGCTTCAACGCGTATTTCACACAAATGTGATATTTTAGTTTTCCCGAAGAGGCACAAATGTCTTGCGTCACGTGCTCCGTGATTTGCCGTATTCAGAAATTGACGTTCTCCTTAACTTACACAGTTACTTGTTTTAAGAGCATTTTTTTTTTCAGTTTAGTCACCCATTTACGGGTAAAATAAAATCATTTTAGACATTTAAAGCTTTTTTTTCTATGCTATGTTGACAAAACACACAATTGTGCTTCTTCGTGAAAACGAGATTCTTCGATAATACACGGGTGTACAATATGCACGCGCACACATTTGTGTCACTTCGTGAAACCACAACTGCTCTAATCGCTTTTCACGAACTGGCACTTAAGTGAAGATGTGTGTCAGTTTGTGGTGTTGGTGGTGTATAAGTAGGCGTCATTGAATCTAATAAACGGAAAGAGAACCATTATAGGTTGTTGAAGGAATAATCATTAAGTGTGCATTGCTGTTAATTGGTTTAGGATCGTCTGGAAATGACTTGGGCGCGGTTATTCCGAGGAAGCTCCTAGACAAAAAAAATGGGCCAAGAAACACAAAGGCAACATGTGTCCACCCGAAATACCATCAACTGAAGAATCCAGCCACATAATGTTATAAATAATAACTGTGTACCAGAGATGAGAAAAGCCATCAAAAACTAAATCAGAAAAGATGTTAGAACACTGATAGATAGATTTTTCCGAGAAGAAGCATTACTGTACGTCACCGTACTTATTGGAGTTTTGTTGACTAAACGAAATCCGTCTTCCGCCTACTGTGCGATTCCGCCCTCTGTTGGCTACTTTGTGTCAAGCACTGCGCCTTTCTACTACGCAAAAGCCAGTCTGATGGAACGGCATGGAAACAAACGAAAATAGCCTGGTTATCGCGCAAGCTAGAGACGCAGGCACAATGGCAGGTTTATGACGTACAGTGAGCGCTTCAAATACTGAATTGAACCTGAATATAATACAGGAAACCAAATCATGCATTGTTATAATCGCCGCTCCCACAGGAAAGTGGCACCATGAAGGTTGTTCGTGGAGTGTGATGATAGTCGTTTTGACTCTCGACTGCTCGACAAATTTTGAAATTCCCCGCCGTATGCTTCAATCCACACTGCGTTCGTGGATTACAGCCTCTGCTGGTAATTTAAAGGGACGCTGAGGAGTACAGTCCTAGAACTTTGGGCTGATCGCGTGATGTAAAAA